AGGAAGAGGTGCTAGAATGAAGTGCAAGTGGGAGATCATGGTTGATTCCTATCACCCACCTTGAGGACAAGGTGGTTGTTTAGGGGGGGAGTATTGTTAGGAATGGGCCTATTATTAGAAATAATAATAAGTGGGCCTATTATTGTAGATAATAATAAGTGGGCTTGTATTATAAATAGAAGTACTATAAATAGAAGTCTGGAGTCTAAGAATGGTAGGCAAGAATTCTGTTGAGAATAGGCTGGGAGATTGGGCATCTCGAATAGTCCTAGGCATTGTATACGACGTTTTGTACTCTTCTTCTACATCAATAAACTCTTCTTGATCTCTTTCTTGATCAATTTCTTACTGATTCTTTACAATTCTGAGTATCCATTATCAGCGTTCTATCATTGCACTGGGTCGAGGCCCATCCTGATAGCTCATGTACACCGCCTTGGAGATACCAGAAGTATTAGGTCTTCATGTACACTGACATATGGGCAGGGGCTAGGTTGCACATTTAGTAAAAACCACATAATTCGCCAGCCTGCAGGAAAGGACAAGCTGTTTCCCAATGAGGGTGTGGGACCTGGTCACCTGGCATTGCCACTGACCCTCTTCTACCATAAATACCTCTCCATTTTATCGATTTAGTGGGTTAGACTCTTACATGATAGCTCATATACACCGCCTTGGAGATACCAGAAGTATTAGGTCTTCATGTACACTGACATATGGGCAGGGGCTAGGTTGCGCATTTAGTAAAAACCACATAATTCGCCAGCCTGCAGGAAAGGACAAGCTGTTTCCCAATGAGGGTGTGGGACCTGGTCACCTGGCATTGCCACTGACCCTCTTCTACCATAAATACCTCTCCATTTTATCGATTTAGTGGGTTAGACTCTTACATGAGAAAAAAGCAGTAATATTGTGCTGGCCCACTGCTTGGATCAAGCGAATAACACTTTTAATCTTAATAAGCTGCTATATTTGGGTGAAAATATAAATATAAAGTGCAATGGGAGTATGGTGTTGAGTGCACTCGTAAGATCTTGTCCAAGGTTGAGAGCGAAAAAGTGGAAGCGAACTAGGGCAGACAGATTAATTTTGGGATCTACAATAAACTGATAGGGATATGACTACCTATAGTAATAAGGATAGATACTAGAAGAAATAAATAGAATAGTTGTTAATAGTAGTTTTCTGTTAGTAGCCATTAACTAAAGTCGGTTGAGTTGTAATACTATAAATAGTAGTAAGCTGGATATTGTCAGTAGGCTGTCATCGACTGTTTAGTCTTTTCTGGGAAGATTGAGATTATTCTCTCTTTTGGGGGGCTTCGGCTCAGTTGGGGGCTTCGGCCATTGATAATTGTTCTTCAATAAAGTTTCTTGAATAGTTTTCTTTGAATTCTGTTCATATTTCTGTGTACTTGGAGAATAGTCTAACATTGGTATCAGAGAATCGTCGATCTTTGTGGATAATCTTTACTCTGCGCAAATGGATTTACATTAAGCAAGTTGGAGAAAAGTCAGAATCAATTTGCAGAGCTATTGGCAGCAGTGCAGGCGAAGCTCACGTCCTTGGATAATTGAGACCAGAACCGATCCAGAAGCAAGTCGCATACTTCGCATTCAACGCATCGCACCTTGGGGCACAGACATGCGAAGAACTTCTATAGACCAGAAGGTGCGGAAATTTCTCACCATTCGCAGAAAGCTTCATCGCAGTCGAAATCACAAACATCTCATATTATGCAGTCGCGAATCCCATCTTCCAGTTCGCAATCGAGAACGGCTTCACTCAGTTCGCAGGAATCGTCGCTAAGCGCACAGCGAACCGCAACAGCAGATCTCAGTCTGCAGGACTCCCATCCACGATCAATTCACATAACAAGGCAACGCTAGTGAAAGAAGAATCTTCTAGTTCGCTAGTTTTGTCGCCAGATATTTCTCAACCAGCGCAAGATTTTTCCCAGACAATAAAGAAGATTGAGAGGGAGACAACTGAATCTGGAATCAAGAAAATAAATAAGGACAAAATCGAGGAGCAAAGACAGGTTAGTCCCTTGCCAGATTACGTTTCTCCTAATCTTACAGATGATGTGGGTTTAATTCCAAGCCAAGTTTCTATTCTGGATCTGCTTATCCACCCATGTTCTTTTGGAAGTAGAGTCCTAATTGCTTTTGAAACGGTTCTTGTCAAAAGACAACAACCTCCACAACCAAAGGATTTTTTTTCAGAAAATTCATGCCTTGAACAAAAGAGGTCTGGTCCAGTGGTTCAGAAGGATCATGTTTATCTTTTCTCGGGAGATTCTGCTATCGTATGGGGAAAACATCCAATGATTCATGATGATGAAAAATCTAGCCATTTCCAAAACCTTGACAGAAATTCACTGATATTTGCAACTTTAATGGCCAAAAACTTAGCAGGTTCTTTACCTGCTGTGGTATCCAAATGGGTACAAGACAAGTGGGCAAATTCTTCAGACTATGGTACGATAGTGGATTACATAACTGAGGAATCAGTTATGCAAGTTGCAGATATATAAGAAACCGAATTGCAGCCATGGGGTGAGAGCAGGTTAAGCTACCCCCAACTTAGTTTACATAATCCATTCAAAGCAACTGAAAGATATCTCATGAGGGGAGACATTTCTGCAAGGACAGATGGAGCAATTAATGAAATGGTGATGATAGAAGGAAATGAAGTTGTACTCAGGATGGGGATCCACAGAATTATAACTGCACTGGGTGCTGTAGGAGTTGACTTTGTATTCTCATGCACAAGATGTTGATCAGTTTCTGTGTTGCATCACACTGACAAAGAGGATCAGGGCATGAATATAAGTTTTACTAAAGGTGTAGGTGATACACCTCAGGAAGACAAGGAAATACTTGTGGCTATGGAAGGCTTAAAAGCTAGTGAAGAAAATGAAACTTCACCAGAAATATTCTATGCTGCAGAAAAATTTGGGAGTTGGAAAGATTATGTACTAAAGCTATTTGCTCTGAAACAAGTGATATATTGGGAAGGTAGAAGCGCAAGGAGGAAGAGGAAGAGGAAGTATAAGATTTTGGCTGTTTACTATCACCCACCTTGAGGGCAAGGTGGATGTTTAGGGGGGGAGTATTGATAGGGATATGACTACCTATAGTAATAAGGATAGATACTAGAAGAAATAAATAGAATAGTTGTTAATAGTTGTTTTCTGTTAGTAGCTATTAACTAAAGTCAGTTGAGTTGTAATACTATAAATAGTAGTAAGCTGGATATTGTCAGTAAGCTGTTATTGACTGTTTAGTCTTTTCTGGGAAGATTGAGATTATTCTCTCTCTTTTGGGGGGCTTCGGCTCAGTTGGGGGCTTCGGCCATTGATAATTGTTCTTCTTCAATAAAGTTTCTTGAATAGTTTTCTTTGAATTCTGTTCATCTTTCTGTGAATTTACTGTGTACTTGGAGAATAGTCTAACATAAACATAGACCGAAATGAAAGTAACCATGTTTATCGGAATTAGTTTTGTGCCCGATGGCTTCTTCTGGAGAATAGTCAAGATATACAATAATTACTTCTCCTGAAAGTGCTCTATTCAATACTAATGATGACCCTTATATAGCTATTATAAGTCTTATTAGTCAGTGGCGGATGGCGTAGTGTTCAAGGGTATTCACTTGAACACCCACAAATTTCAATTTTTTTTAATCAAAACGACATCGTTTTGGTGGTTTTACAAAAAATGAAACGTAGTCGTTTGCTGATATTCAGCCGTTCAAACCTGCGTTACTGCGTATTCACGATGGTTCCAACTTCCAAGATAGGTCTTCACCGAAATCCTTCCACAAACTGAAATTCTTCCACCCTTGCCCGCTCCGGCTCCGTCAGTCAGCTTCTCACACCCAAGCTCCAGCCTCTAGGCTCCGGATTGTCTTGCAGGTTGTTGATTGCTTGCTTTCTTTAAGTATTTTTTATTTTTGAGTTTTGACTTTGAAAATCGGAAGAAATATCATATGCGGAACAACAGAAGGTGTAGGGTTGAAGGTATTATATATTTATATGATGATGAACGATGATGTACTGATGTATGGGCGTATGGCTAATTGGCTAAAGATTATTGAAAATTGAAATGCTCCCAAGTCCCGATCTCTTTATGACTTTATATATTCTGCCTTTTTCAGAGTAATAAATCAGTATAACTGATAATTGATATATGGAGTGGCAAAGAGTAAAAAAATCAGTAGAAATAGTAAGACACTACTTTATCCGTGGCTAATGTGCAGAAAGTCAACAACCCACTAGGTAGAAATAATAAGATATTGAAAAAAATCAGTCGGCTGGAGCATAACAACAATACACCATTGGATGCCTACTCATTTCATTATTAGCCTAAAATCTAAAGTCCTAAACTGAGTTATCCAGTGTTCAAGTAGCAGAACTCCCTGTGAATAACCAAATGAATAAAAAGGATAAGGCTCTTATACTTTATTAATATATTATGGAGTATGTTTTACTTTTTAATGTAGTAGTTTTTTTATTGATAAAGACACAATTGTTGAATCATAGCATTAGATATGATTATTGTGATACTTTTAACTTTACTTTAGTTTCGAACACCCAAAATGTAAAGGCCAGATCCACCACTGTTATTAGTATAAAGAAATCTAAGAGCTGATAGAGTAATAGACTTCTAATCTAACTAAAATAGAAACAAGAACATTTGAATTAGGACTGCTTTGCACAGCCCAAAAGGCAGCACAGGCATTTAGGATGGCCCAATCAGCCACTTTCGGTGTGCCCCTCAGTGACAGTCTCTACACGGGCCTCTAGGCCTGCCTTTGGTGGATGACATTGCTGATAAGCATGACGCATGTCTAAATCATATTGCTGATATAGTTTTGGCAAGCATGTTTCTGATGTTGGTATTGCTGACAATATTAGAATGCTGCATGAATAATAATTTGCTTGCAATTTATCCTAGACAATTATCATAATGTAAAAGGTTCGTGCGGATTTGCAGGGCACTGTCAGTTTTTAGCATTCTTCTTCTGCTGCTACGTAATTCCTCTAATTTTAAGATTAGGATACAAGCAGCTGCAGCTTTGGCTGTTCCAGCGACCATCAAAGGTGATATTTTTATAACCCTCGCTCACGAAGTTATCTAAAGCTTGTCATAATTCCTATGGTCTCGTACTCTCATTCCCACTAACTTCTCAGTTTTCAGGATGAAATTTTTACGCTTTTTTTAATTTTTACGCAACTCAGACACTCAATCTCATTGTTCTTCAGTGTCTTGGTGCAAATTATATTGAATTATGGACCTTATCTTTATGAAGCAAGTTAATAAGAAAGTGCTACTGTCAAAGAAAGGCTGACTAGTCGTCAATGACATCATCATAAAAACTTTGATGTTTCAGATTATGGAAGATCATTTGTTGATGTCCTTCAAGGCGTAGAACATGTTATTGAGAACCTGAGGTCAGACCAGATCTCAGTACCGTCAAATTTGAAGTATAGAGTTGCACTTGAAAAGCAGGTATCAATTTTTCAGTATCAACACTCATTGATATTTTTTCTTTCCCTTCATTTTTTAGTTTTTGGTAATTTTACTATTTTACTGCTCCGTAGTTTCAGATATTTTCTATCAATTTATGTTGTTTCATTTTCACTTTATTTATCTTATCTGTTTAATTTATGCACCATATGTTTCAGATAATTTTTTAAAATGAATTTGCATTTATCCTTCTCATTGTATAGTAATTGATGAAAGTGAAAGGACACAAGTTTACGATTCGTTGTATCTTTTATCCTTCTCATTATATAACTGTTTAATGGCTGATAAAAAATTTGGCTGTTGGCCTATTTAGAAAGATCTAATATCTTTTTGGCTTTATAATACAGATAAAAATTTGGCGGTTGTGTATTACTAATGTATCATTTCGAGATACACTTACGTTTTCTCGCTTTCCCATAAGTAATGAACATTTTCTAATATGACTTCCACAAACTTTTTACTTTCTCACTATCCTTATTTTTTAGGGAGTCGTATTACTTTTTCTTTCTTCTAGAAGGTTACTGTTGTAAAATAGAAACTATCTTTTTTACTTTCTTAAAACTCACCCAAACCCACATGTATCTTATGTTTTGGGACGAGGGAGTACCATCGTATCGGCACAAATCTTTAATTAGTATTTGAAAATTCACTGTTTAATTCAAGATTGACTTGTGCAGTTGACCTCGACTATGTTACACGTGCTTTCTCTGTCTTCACAAATTGATGATCGTGGTGTGCATGAGTTTCTATGCAAGGTAAGCATATTCTTGTTCACCATTGTGAAAATTTATTATTAAATGTCCCAATTTCCTTGCTAGCAACTTTTCTCTCTTTCATCTTTAAAATATACTAATACCCTCATTTTTTCATCTTATTTCCCAACTTATCCTGCTTTTTCATATTCTGGACCTCCTTTTTCTACCCTTTTTCCTTTTTACTACCCATATTTTATTCTTATTATGTGAAAACCCTACAGGAGCAACTGATATAAACAGCGGGATTATATTATATGTATACTATCCTACTTTCTTCGTCGTAGCTGAAAAGACGTTTAGGTTTAATACATGCTATCCCTTATGTACAGAAATCAACATTTCTTGAGGAGTGGCTTAAAGGACTGTGCTTGTCATTGGGGGTGCCAAATGATCAGTTCGATGCCGAATACAGTTCCAGCCGTGACCAAAAGAAAGAGATAATAAGCCTAGCAATCAAGTCGTTAGTGGAGATTTTTGAAGCTCATAATCTCCCAGCCATTGCACAGAGATTTCATAGACTACTTTCAAATAACATATGACACATCCAGACGTCTGTCGAATTTGTGGTGGTGAATTGATGCTTGTAGGTAGAACCTTTTTCAAGCATCTAAATTGTGGTGACGATAGATTCAATTCCATGCCCAATGTTTCTTTTTGCTTATTTCTATTCGTTCGCTCGGTCTTTGGATGCGTATCTCTTATATAAAAGCTCGCTGGGTGCTGCTTTTTATAATGACTTGAAGGAGTTGAGCTGGTGGTCTATTATAGAGGCCGTTTGGTAACACTGTTTATCGGCTTATGAGGCTTATCAGTCAACTTTTTCACTTAACACGTAACTTTTGCTTTCGCGCGCTGAATTGTGTAATAAGCAAAAAAGGTAAGGTTGGAGTTACTTTTCTGGCTGTATTGGCTGAAGTTACTGTAGATGACCATTTTAGCTATTTTTACATATAATTTTTTCTTTATTTTATTAATAAAATATATTTTAAAAGTATTTTTTTCTTAAACCAGCAGAATCAGCCAATGCAGTCACTTCAGCCAGAACTTCATAAATTTCAGCAGAATCAGCCAAATCAGCCGATTTTCGTGCTACCAAACGGGCTCATAGTGTCACAACCTATTTTCACCTGAGGCCTTTTATTTAGTGGGAAGTGGGAACTGTAAATACGGTATAAAAGATTGGTGCATCTAGTGGGAAGTGGGAAATGGACATCCAGTTACAATCGGATTAATGGGATGATTCAGTCGAAATTTATTAAATTCTAGCAGAAGTGACCGTACAACTTCTTGCTGATTTTGTTGATTTATGAAAAATCTATATTTAAAATATATTTTATTAATAAAATAAAGAAAAAGTTGTATGAAAAATAGTTAAAATTGTCACCCACAACTTCAGTTAATACAATCAGAAAAGTAACTCCAATCTTACCTTTTCTTATTATTACACAATTCAGCTAGGAGTGGACTCAAGCCGGGCCAACCGGCTCGGAACCGGACCGGCCCGCTACTGTGTGGGTTTGGCCCGGCCCGGTGAGGCGGTTAGTTCACGGTTCGGGCCACCCGGCCCGGTCCTCAAGCGGTTCGGTCTCGGGCCTAGATTTTAGTGAACCGGCCCGGCCGGGCCTCAACGGTAACATTTTATTTTTTTTAAAAAATAATAAAAGGCTCCATAGCCGTTGGGAGACCTCCCAAACGGCTCTATAGCCGTTGGGAGCATAGGAGGGGGGGTCTGGGGGGTTAGGGGGGGGTGGGGGGTGGGGGTGGGGTATACAAAAAAATCTAATAATACTCTTATTTTTTATACATTTTTTACACCTCTTCTTCTACAACTCTTCCTACCCTCTAAATTCTCTATTCTCTCAATCTTTAATATTCAATCATCTTCATTCTTCATCTTCTCCAAATTCTTTCTACATATATTAATATATATAATTTATATAATTATTATATCTACTTATATATTAATTATCTACTTATAAATATATACTTATACACATTCATATTATAATTGTTTACGCATTAGCGATGACAGTGGCACAAGACACTAGCGAGAGTGGATTAGTACTATTGTTTGGATTCTTTAATGTTTGTTCAATTTTCAACTCACAAATGTGATTAGTAGAAGGTTATTTTTGTCAACTTGCTCTTAAAAAGCTCCTATCAAACATGGGTCATGTGAATACTCCTACTTTGACAAATTGTAAACATTTTACTCCTATATGAGTAATTAACTCTAAACCTATGTAGAGCAGCGTTTAAGGTTAACATGTTTAGTACTAAATCCTTCATGTTCTATTTCATTTTTATTTTTTATACGACAATAGTGCTGTATGATTTGAATTTATTGACATGTTACCTCGGTGGATTTATATTCTTTGTGTGTAATTATTTTTTAAAGTTTTTTTTGCCCTAAATAGGATTAAAATGTTGTTTAAATTCCTAAATGGGAGTAAGTATACTTCTATTCCCTAAATAGGACTATTGTACCAATTTACCTCTCCATTCAATTCTATCGTGCAACACCCTTTCTTTGTTTTCTACTCATACCTGCGCAACTCTGCCACAGGGAGCACTTCAATGTGACGAACAGAGGCAAACGACGGTCAGCGGCGAACAACAGCGAGCGACGGAGATCGGTGAAGGTGTGGTGACGAGTGGCAGCGAGTGGTGAGCGGTGAAGGAGCGTCGAGCGTTGAGCAACGACCGGTGACAAGCTTAATTAACTTCAGATCTGTTGTGGAATTAAGGCACATTGTTCTCCCTGTCTCTTGCTTCTTCTTCATCTTCCTCAATACCTCCTCTATATTCCAATTCTCTCTTTCCCCCTCTTCGTAAGTTCAGATGCAATTGACAGATGACAAACACTTAATGTTCATCTTCTTCATTTGGTTTGATTTTTATAAAAATGCCAAATTTTATTTAAAAAATGCCAATAAATTAGCATTTTAACTCTTTAAAAATGCCATCTTTTCTTTTGAAAATGCCATTAACATGGCAGTTTTTATTCATGTTGGCATTCGTATGATATTGTTGGCATCAGTGACGGCGACTGTGAGACCTGCACTGGCGGAGGCCGGATCCGCATATGCGGCGATTGGATCTGCGGCAACAGACATATTTACGGCGGAGGCAACTAGGTCTACGACGGCGGTGGCCAGATCTACAGCAATGATGACCAGATCTGAACCGACAACAACAAGATGTGCAACGGTGGTCAATTCTCCGGCGACCGGCGACCGGCGGAGGTCCGGTGTCCTGCTTTGCCAAGCATCAGGGTAATTATATCCAACTCTAAAAATAGCTCTTATTTGGGAAAATATTACATATTACTCCTATTTTAGCAATTAATGATTTCTTTAGTCCTATGCAGGGAATAATCCCTTTTTAAACATAAAATATGAAATTCAAGCGCGCCCATAGTTTTGATTAAAACATGAGGTTAAGATCATTTTTATATTCTTATGGCTGAAGTACATTTAGAATTTAAGCTTATCAATAATTAAAAAATGGTAATCTATATTTATGTCCTTATACGTCATTTTTATCCCTAGGAGGAGTTTCATAACATCTAATTATATTAAACATTTATTTACAATAAATTAATATAACCAATCAAACCTAAAATCTAACATAATCGGCTATTGGAAAACGGTTGACATAATCAGCCGATATGCGACAACTAATAGCTATTTGGCCTTCTCCGTGCGCCGCCGTGCCGGTGATATTCCTTGGAGCATCCCATTTTTATCACAATGAAACAATTTTATCTTGCTCTATTTTCTTTTTGCGCCACATTGCCAGGTTTCGACATTATTCTCCCTGTATTACTCTAATCTATTTTGTTTTTGTTTTTCTTATTCTTTAAGGAAAATTTTAAAATTTGATGATATTTTTTCCTTTCACAAATGTACTCATAGTGCTAAATTTTAAAATTTGAAATACTTTGGGCGATTTATAAGGATGTAATCATTAATCTAAGCTTTAATATTTGAAATGAATAACATCAACAAATAAGTTTATAATGTTAATAGCACACTAAAAAAGTTTAGAATATTTAAATTATTTACGCAACACTATAATTTTAAATTTGTGAAAGCAAATAATATGCTCATGATGTTAACATAATTTTTTATATGAAACTTATAGAACTTATTAGATACGTAAGTTTGAAATGCTTATCTCACATTCCTCAAAAGTTCATTACTCCGTAAGGGGAGTACTTAGTATTTTTTCCAAACGAAGTGATATATAAAATTGTAAACACTAAACTTCGTCATTTCAATTACACATGTTTATTAATATATTTATACTTTATTTAGAACGTTACGCAGTAAATGAATTCGTAGTAATTTTTATTTATGTATGTTTTTAACATATTAAAAATAAATATGTTTTCATAAACATTACTAAAATGTAAGTAATGATCGAAATACTACTAACGTTATTAAGGAGTATGAATATACTGGCACAGCATGAAAAATTGAAAACTGAACATGATCAAAGGTTTATTTAGAGAGGTTAGGTGAAGTCTGAAGCTGGAGCTTATTCATACCCAAACCGCTTAGACTGATGTTAGCGAGAAAATTCTCTCATTTATAGTATGAATTGGCGGCCTATCAACTATTCTTTCTATCTTAATGTTAGCAATCAATTGTCTGCAAGGCGCAAACCGATACAAAACGAAATCTTTTTCTGCATCCAGAATTGAATTCTTCCTTTCTAACATTCAAAGTTTTCCTGTCGAACACAAACATGGCTTCTTCACATTCAACTGAGAACTGCATTGGATGGGCTGCCAGAGACCCATCCGGAGTTCTTTCTCCTTACAATTTCAGCCGCAGGTAAATCACCTGTCCAGAAAATGACCTGTTTTATGCCGTAATTTGTTAATAATCTCAATTCTCCTGTACACTGATAAATGTTATATAGGGTTACCGGGAGTGATGATGTTTCGCTAGATGTTTCCTATTGTGGCGTTTGTTATGCTGATGTGGCGTGGACAAGGAGTATTCATGGACCTTCCAAGTATCCTTTAGTGCCTGGGTATGATGCTCTGTACTGCCAATTTCATGTTCATTTATTCGTTTGCATGCTCAATAGTGATGAACCCATTATCTTCTTCTTACCAGGCATGAGATTGTAGGGATTGTGAAAGAGGTTGGGTCCAATGTCCAGCGCTTTAAAGTGGGTGATGCTGTGGGAGTCGGCACTTACGTCAACTCATGCAGGGAGTGTGAGTACTGTGAGGAAGGGTTAGAAGTTGAGTGTTCAAAGGGATCTGTCTATACTTTTGATGGAATAGATTTTGATGGCACAGTTACTAAGGGAGGATACTCAAGTTACATTGTTGTTCATGAAAGGTGAATAAACATTTCTGGCAATCTTTTTCAATATATCTTTCATCAAGTATGCTTGTATCATTTCTGTTGTAGCACATAAAAATCAAGGATGCTATAAACTATATTTACTGCATGGATTTTTCCACTTATAGTTATCTAATTATTGTGGCATTGTATTTGTCTTTAAATTTGTTTACTTTTAGTCATTTGCTTCTGGTGAAAACAACGTCTTTAGTACTTATCTTTGAATTCTTCCATTGTGACTATTTTGCGTGTCAAACTTTTCCATATCCTCAATAGTCAGAAAATTAAAAGTGTCAATGTAAGAATAGTTGGTGGATTAAAATGTCACTTTAACTAGCTAGAGGACTAAAATTAAATACATTCAAACATGAGTACCAAAAGGCTGTTTGTTACAGTTGTTGGAGGACTAAGAGTGGAATAGGAATGGTACTAAAAGTGTCATGGCCCCATTAGTAAATCAGCTGAGTAAAGTGGAAAACACTCTTTGCTACAGGTATTGCTACAAAATTCCCGAAAGCTACCCTCTTGCCTCGGCAGCACCTTTGTTGTGTGCTGGAATTACTGTGTACACTCCTATGATACGGCATAACATGAACCAACCCGGCAAGTCTTTAGGTGTGATCGGACTAGGTGGTCTTGGTCACTTGGCTGTGAAGATTGGGAAAGCTTTTGGGCTTAAAGTAACTGTTTTCAGCACCAGTATATCAAAGAAAGATGAAGCTCTGTCTCTTCTTGGAGCTGACAATTTTGTGATCTCAACTGATAAACATCAGATGGCGGTTAGATGATTCATCCTTGTTGTTAGATGATTCATATTTCATTGTAATGTTACAAGAATGATGATTTGCTGAAATTATAAGCATGATTGTGTCTTGCTATAGGCACTGACTAAAACATTTGACTTCCTGATTAACACCGCATCTGGTGATATCCCATTTGATCTGTACTTGTCGCTGTTGAAAACTGCTGGTGTTCTTGCTATGGTGGGGTTCCCAAGTGAAGTGAAATTTAGTCCTGCTAGCCTAAATTTTGGTAAGTATAGTTTTATGTACTTCCCTGTACCATAGGTTTTTCCCACTTTCTATTCTTTATGTCTCAAAAATTGCCTCCCATTTCAAGTGATGATCCGAAGATATGTGTGGACGGTACTCTTTCTCTCAATCAGATATGGAATTTCAACTGGCTAAACCGGTTAAATATAAAACGTGAATAACAAATAAGACTTTAAGCTAATCTTTCTATGAGATTAACTGTTTTATCAAATTCCATGTCTTATCATGGTATCAAAGCAAACATAATCTATATTTTGGTGTGGTCTCCCTATGAAGAAAATGCATACTCCAAACAAAGTGCGGAATGTAAGAGTATGCGCCATTGTGTAAATATCTTTCATGGTCGAGACAATATCTAGCCATCTGGAGGTGATGAAAGATTGGTTGCATGCCAGCCAGCAAACTGTGAAATAACTAGTACTTTCTTAGTCCCCTTATGTAAAATTGACTTTCCTTTAAATCCGTCCCAAAAATACGAACACTTTTCTAATTCTAACTCCATTAACTTTTAACTTCTTACTTTATCTTTTCATCTAACATTCATATTTTTAGTCTTTGATTCTTTGTAGAATCATATTACTTTTTCTTATATTTTGGAGATTTCAATGGTAAAGGAGCAATTATATCTTTTATTTTCTTAAGCCCGTATCAAAGACAAATGTATTTTGCATTTTGGGACAGAGGGGTAACATTGAAGACTTTAGGCTACTACGTAGTATCATTTATCAAGTTGACTTTTTAAAATGTAACCAAAAGTCTTATCAAATATCAACCACAACCATAAAGTTATATGGAGTACCTTTTTAGTGATCTGTCAATTCAAAGTGAGACAGAGGGAGTTTGATTAACTCCACAGTTTCACTAATTTGGTCATATACATTTCCTTAAAATTATGTGCTTCATGTTACACAGGTATGAAATGCATTGCTGGCAGCATAACTGGCGGAACAAAGCTGACACAAGAGATGCTAGAGTTCTGTGCTTCCCACAAAATATACCCTGAAATTGAGATGATTCCAATCCAGTATGTCAATGAGGCTCTTGAGAGATTAATAAAAAAGGATGTCAAATATCGTTTCGTGATTGATGTTGGGAGCTCCCTCAAACGAGATAGATGAATATGGCCATCTGCAGTTGTTGATATGTTTTGGGTTAGTTGCAAAGAAAGTTGATGTTCCTTTCACTTGGTGTTTTATTTCTATCTAATGGAAGTTCAATAAAAGGCCATCTTAGTCATTATTGATGAAATTTAGTTCGTGTGTTAACAAGTGGAAACAACTGATGTCAAACTGAACCTGTAATTAAAAACCTGGACATAGTTAGAGATTTGTTTTGGGAGCTAATAATTGAGATTGAGAGGATTTGGAAGAAAATTTGAATTCTTTCTTCGGTCGTGGTTATGGATGGCAAACTCCTAGCTAGTACAATCAAGACCGCCTATGGGAGCCTTGAGTGAATCACCTATAACTAGGGCTGAGAGCTTGGGGGGTTTGAAATTGAATAACTTGAGTATTTTGGCAGAGGATTTCAGGTTGATTTTCTAATCAAGTTAGGCGAATGTAGAATATAATGACATGCATGATCAAGTTAAACATCCATTTCGGTGAGCAAATTTAGAGGCCCGTTCATGGGTGACAAGAGTAAAAGTGTAATTGTTGATTTTTTCCTAATTAGGTTTAATTTGGTGCTTTCTTGAGTCTATTATGGAGTATAATAATATGGATTTGTTTAGTCGAGTATAAAAGATTTTCATTAAAAAAGTAATCACAGTGAGTCAGTAAATGGTTTTTGCTTATTTTACATAAAAACGTCCAATGAAAATGTCATTTCTATTGAAGCACTAGTAATAAAAGTTTAATAGTTGAAGCATTCAAAGATTCATTGTCCATCCAAAAAAATAAAAATTTTATGATAGTTTATTTACGGTTTACCAAACACCCCTTAATCCCTATACTACCAAATCGTCTGCGTATGGACTCGATATATTTTTTAATAGAGCATCATGATAATGATATCAAATTAACTGATGAAAAATTCCATTAATATTACTCATTTGTGGACAAAAATATTATTTATAAGTCACTAATAATTAGTAAGTACTCCCTCCGTTCCCAAAAATACTTCCCATTTTACTTTTTGGGTTGTTCCCAAAAATACTCCCCACTTTCTCATTTTGTATAATTTGTGTGACTCACATTCATTTTACCTTTTTCTTACACAACCGCAATCATACATTTCCACTTTCTTAATAAGCGTGCCAAGTCAAATCGGGAAAAATTTTAGGAACAGAGGGAGTAATATTTTTGTGCATACCTTTCTTATACTCGGAAAACCCCATTCATAAATACCATGTAGCATATATTTATCTTTTTCAATAGAAAAATGACAATAGTGCTTGTCTAATTAACATGTACTACGTATTAAAAATTTAAAATCAACGGTTGATCTCCTTTACATTTCCAATATGTACAACATAAATATGGAGCATGCTACCTATAAATGCTGCCATATTCGAAACTACCTAATAAGTAAACACGTATAACAGTATATATACAAGTTAGCAATATAATCCTCTTTTTTATATACGTATCACTTTGGAAAGCCCTAAAAGCTTCAACTATCTACCTTTGATTTCTTCTGTACTAAGAACAACCAAACAAATCTGAATTGAATTAATAATCCACATATTCATAGCATGGAAATCCCAGAAAAGGTCAATAAGTCTAAAATAAGACACATTATAATTTTTATTTTAACCTTTGCTGCTCTATCTCTTATTGCATATTCCCTCATATATCTTGTACCGGCCGATTCTCTTGACCTTCTCAAGTATTTCTTCCCTCTCTTGCTATCAACAACCTTCTTTGTCGTCGTTGTCGCAACGGGTTTTAAACGACAGGCCTTACTAGTTGCGGATGACTTCGACGAAAAAACAGCAGAAGAAATTTGGAAGTACATAACTAGTTATGATGAAGGTAATCAATCATCATCCTCATGCTGCTAGCTAGTGAATTAGTTCTTTATTTTGATGCATACATACCCTAGTATTCCAATAGCCAAGAAGAATTAGTTTAAATAATGTATCTAGTAGCTAGTACTTTTTGGAACATTACTCCCTCCCTTTTATATTAATGTTCTTATTTCATTTGAGATGAGTAAAAATTGTTAAGTTGACTTGGATGTGATATTAATGTTCTCATTTAATTTGACATAAAGTTTAAGAATTTAATTTGGCATAAAGCTTAAAAAACAAACAGGATGTTGGAACACTATTTTGGAATAATAAAGCAAAGTAAAGTTCGATCACTGATATTGATCTATGTGCAGATGCATGAAACGGTTGGACTATTCAGGAGGGACGATTTTGAGTCCCTGACCGGATCAAGTCAAATCAGATCAAATCAAACTATATCGAACTAGGCTAGACTAGGTCATAGAGACCACACATTTAACAGATCAGATCAAAAAAATTCAGTTCAAGTGAAAACATTCTAAATATGGAGTAATAATAAATAATATATAAACATAAAAGACATGGATGTCGCCCACAATTTATTTGAAAATGCGTACCAAGGGGATCAATCGGAACAATGTTGGACTGTATGCCAAACCTTTCAACCCATAACAAACTGCCCAACCCACAATTTGTCCAGAAACACACTAAACATATTGAAGTTGATTGTTATTTTGTCTATGACGCTATAATTAATAGGGTATGTTTAACACAACTAGCTGAAAAAAATACTTTTATGAGTTTTTTAGTAACTGTTAGCTTTTAGTGACTGAAAATATCTTAAAAAGAAAAGGCAGTACTTTTTTGGTAAAAAGTTGACTGTTTGATCTAGCATTGTTTGGTATACAAGTTGTTAAGACTAATTAATACTAGAAACTACTAACTTATCTGAGATGCTACTCATTGTAGCATCTCAAAAAAGATCTTTTATTTTTAGGGAGAACTATCAAATAAGCCTTGAACTTTCATAAAAAGTCCAAATAAACCCTTTTAGTGAGGCTTTGTCCGGCCGTCGCCATTTAGGGCGGTTTCAGGTAATTTTTTTTGATGAAATATTTTGAGCATCTTCTTCATTAAGTCTAGTTTACGCATACCAAATTTCAGCTAAAAATTCAATCGTGAAGGCAGTCAAATGAATTTTTGAAGATAACTGCGCGTTTAGGCAGCGCAGTATATTTCAGAAAATATTTGACTATCTTCTCGATTGATTTTTTAGCTGAAATTTTGTATGAGTAACTAGACTTAATGAAGAAGATGCTAAAAAAATCATCAAAAAATTCCACCGGAAACTACCCCAAATGGCGACAGCCGGACAAAGCATCCTGTAAAAGGACTTATTTGCACTTTTTATGAAAGTTCGAGGGCTTATTTAATAGTTCTCCCTTATTTTTATAAAAGCTCTTAAAAGTTGGCATGCGAAACATACAACTGAAAGATTTTAATGACTTTTTAAATAGTACAAAAGCTAGAGATAGTGTGATCTGTACATCACATGTGCTTACTAGTTAATTATTAATTGGCCGATATCTTTACCAAAATCAAGCGAAATTTGGTTTCACTTTATGAATCTTCATGCTCCAACTAGGGGTATTGCACCTATTATTCGAGTTATTGTATTATATGTGTATGAATATGTATTTCAATATTTAGTTTATTAGTAGGTCTCATGACTTGCTATGACCATTAGGGGCGTAGCTAGGAGGCATGCATGCTAGGTTCCAGAGTCTCAGCTCACCCCAAACTTTAATATTTTAAATTTAAGAGGAGGTTCGGACAAGGTCTTGGGCGGCTAGTGGGGGTGGGGTAGGGTTTGTAGAGCAAATCCGGCAGTAGTCGGAGCATGGGTTGTGGCAATCGGGGCATGTTGGGCAGCGGCGACCAGAGCATGTGTGGCGGTGGTTGACGAGGCATGTGCAATGACCGGTCACTATCAGGTTGGTCAATGGCCACGTTGGTCATGGTCGGGTTGGTCATGGTCGGGTTGGTCATGGTCGGGTTGATCATGACCAGATCGGTTATGGCCGGATTGGTCATGGCCAGATTGGTCATGGCCGGATAGGTCATGGTTGGATTGGTCATTGTCGAATTGGTCATGGTCAGGTTAGTCATGGTCGCTTATTGGTCACTGGTTGGATTGGTCATGGTAAATGGACGGGTTGGTTACGGCCATTAGTTGAATTGGTCACTGGTCGGGGGTTGGTCATTGAATTGCTTGAATTGGTCAGTGTTCGGATTGGTCATTGTCACTGGTAGGAATTCAGTCTCATTTTTGGAAGTTTTTAAAAGCGGTCCTATATTTATCTAAAACATTTATTTTTGTATTATTTATGGACAAACACTATGATTTTTTTATGGTAAAAGCATTTTTGTATTTTTATTTCAATGTCATATCATAAATCACTTTTTATCAAACACACCAACTTCTACCTTTTAATTAAAATCACTTCTATTTACAAACACTATCTACTTTTTTATGGAAAGTGACTTGTATTGATAACACAACATACAAATATGGGCTAAATAGACAAAAAGACCGTTGGCAACTGCCGACCCTCGAATCAGACTCAGAGTTAATCACTTCATCAGAAGCAATAACTCATTGATCCATTAATGGGCGCAACTGAGCCAAAGACGATCACCGCAGACTTCCTGTCACCCAAACTCAAGCTCAAAGTCTTACAACGTAAAATAATAACAAACTGAAAATAAACAAATTAAAATACCCAACATATATAAAAAAACAAGCGCAACAAAAAAAATAAACACCCTACTCCGTCTTCCAGTAATAAAATACCAAATGCCATCCCGAGCCTGCTACCTGAGACTCCCTTCGGCGGGCTAAAAAATCTAAGCCCGCCTCTTCCGCGTTTTTGGCTTGTCAAAAGCCATATTATCCCTGTCTGGTCCATCCTGTTCCTGTGCCTCCCAGATCCTTCTCCTTTTCTGCTCTCCTAGCACTTCCTCACTGCTTTCAAAATCCCCATCCTTAGTCGTATTGTCTCCTTTTCCAATTGTAGATTCCTTCGAGCCTTGCCCTCCTAAGCCTTGGAATTCTCCTCGGATGAAAGACTCTGAGCTGCATTGGAGGATCCCTCCACAAGCCACTTATTGTCTCCTGTAGGACTAGTGTTCACCACTCCACCAACTCTCAGGCTAACTCCATATGATTTTTCCAAAACCAAATTATCCTCATAATTTAGAGAACAAAACCTATCAGAATGTCCGATTATTCCACAAATGAAGCAAAAATTGGGCAACTTTTCATATTTGAAATCCACCCAATGCCCAATTCCTGCTTTCTTAAGATTTGTTCCTTTCTTCAAGGGTTTGCCCACATCCATACAAACCCTTACTCGCAAATAAGCTTCACATTTGTCATCAAATTGATTATCATCATACTTAACAAAACTATTAATAAAACCATCAATTCTTCTAGCAGTACCTAGACTCGTCAAGCTATAGGGAACAATGTGAACTTGAACCCAGAATTCCGCCTCTTTGAGATAAATTTTGAGGGGAATATCCTCCGGTTTAACCTCTTTTAAAATCAACAAATTTCTTTCAAATAGCCACGGGCCACCATTATGGTAAAAGGTAAAGAGATATCTTTTTTCACCAATTTCTTTGATAGAAACCCATTTGCCCGGTCTCCACAGCGAAGCCATGAGATCCTTGAAAACCTAAAACTTGATCTTCCTATCCGTTAGCAAGGTACCAACCACCAGGAACATCGACCGACACTCCTCCGCCACAACCTCACCTACTTCTTCCTCATCCAAATCCAATTCCTCACCTTCTACTCCAATCGCCATCTGTTTATACTGATTGGCAATCGATTCCATCAATCTCCACTGCTTTGTCCACAATTAGACACCCCTCTCCGCAGGCTGGCCTCTTCGAAATCAGAAGACCGAAGGTTATATCTTAAAGCCCCTTGCCAGACGCCTTTGTTCCAGCCGCTTACTCTTCCGGATCCGAGCTCTTCTTTGCGCAAGAAAAGAAACCGCTCCTCGAGAGTTTCAAAATTGAAGACAATATTTACACACTATCTACTTTTATTATAGAGGAAATTCTCAAAACACGGGATTTTCTTGTAAGCCACGCCAAAATACGGGAGCTGAGATAATTGGACGAAAAGATGGTAATCGGAATTCCATGTTCCGAATGCAAAAGAGAACAAGGTTGGGGCGCATGGGTAGGGGAAATGGGTGGGGTTGGGTAAAATATAAAATCCCATTTTTTTATTATGTGATTTAAATTTTTTATTTGTATTCCATTTTTTATAAAAAATATATCAAAATTCATAACTTTTTATAATCTTTCATATGACACCAATATTGCATATAAAAAATTTAAAAAAAAAATGAACTTTCGACAGTATGGTTGAAACTTCAAAAAATAAATTAAATTTTATATATGGGATATTGGTGTCATTAGAAAGATCATTAAAAATTAGGAATTTCAATATATTTTAGGTAAAATTTGGAGTAAAAATTAAAAAATTATAAAACTTAATAAAAAATGGGATTTGACATGTTTGCCAACCCCCTCCCTTCCCACCCAACCTACCCCTCCCAGCCCACTCAATCATCCCATTCAGAAACCCTCTTTCCGAATCCCTTAATCTTAGAAACCTAACCAAACTCCCATATTTTTGCAGCACTTGTTGAATATTCCCGTTTTGTAAGAAAACACCATGTTGGTAGAAAATAGCTCGAGAGAGAAAGCGACAGCACTTCGATGTAGTAAAAGTGACGTAGGGAATACATGAGGGTTGATGACCTATTTATAGGCATCCATCATAAGCCCAAAATCTAATCTATGTGGGCTTGGCCCAACTTAATAATGCATCCCCTAGTTAATGGGCGAACCGGCCCGATAAATAAATAATGAGCCAGTGGCGATTCCCGTTCGGGAGACCGCGTCCTGAGCCTAGTTGGACCTAAGCTCGGGGATATCGGGCCGATGGCACTGGACCTGACTCCTTATCCCAACACACCCTTTATTATAAATCGCTTTAATTAAACCACTTTTAAGAAGCACAAGCAAATGCTAAAGCACGTCATGAATATTAATCCGTCCTACCTATGGTGTGGGTCCCGTCCATTTCCCATGCACCAGGCCTTAGAATAACTTCAGATTTTATTATTCTAAAATGTCTCTTCGATTATCTCCTTTTCACTTTAATTTGCTTTCTACGCAAACGATTATATGCGTTAATCCAGTAGTTATCAAGTCTTCATCCATGCATATATAGATGCTATATGTATATTTTCCAGGTCTTGCCTGCATGCCCCGGTAAACCTACTCTTTCATGAGTACGTGTGCGTTTTCCATGAATTGGAAGACATATATGTAACCATGGAGGTGAAAAAGACTTTATGAGACGATTCAATTACACTCAGTTGGTATACCGTGGGAACAGCCCATGTTGAGCATGGTGCTCTCACAGCTAATTCACGCGTGAACAGTAACACGAGTGAACAGTAACCTTTTTTTTCCTTCAGTAGCAGGGTGATGTAGCTTGTGTGTAATGAGATGTAATTCACGTTAATATGCAATGTAACTACAGGCAAGTTGCGATGTAAACTATGAAAAAAAGTAATCTAATTGCTCAATTACTTTACATAATTAAGTAGTGGATATGTTTTTTTAATATTAAAGCCATAATTTTTTTGGAATATCTTTTTTTTTTGCCAAAAAATCATTTTTTTTTCAAAAACAAAATGAATTTTTTGTTTCAATAGTTGGGGTTTATTTTGATATGTAACTAGTGTTATGGAAAATGTAACTCATGTTGATGACAAAATCTAACTTATGTGTATGCAAAATGTAACTTGTCGAGACAAGTCAGTGTAACTCGCGCACAAGATGATGTAACTCACGCACAAAAAGATGTAACTCGTTCATGAAAAGATGTAAATCCATATGATATCAAATGTAACTATAGAATTTGTCTATAAACATAACTCACACATGTAAAAAATGTAATCTCACGGTTTTTCTAATTTAATGTCTTTAAAAGTCAAAAAACATATAAAAAGATAGAAATATATTATACAAAAAGTGCATGAATACAAAAATATGTTTTAAAAAAAATATAAATGTAAAAACATTACAAAAAAAATCCGTTAGTAATTTTAGTTGAAGGAAAAAAGTAAAAAGTAGTGTATGATTATGAAATACAATATACTTATTTTATGTGGATTAATAATATTTTGTAATAAATTGGTAAAGAAAAAAATTAATCTAGTTGTAATTTAATTAGTTAAAGATAAAAATAAGTAAAAAATCACAAATAATTAGATGTAACTCGCGCATAAGAAAATGTAACTCACGCATAAGAAAATGTTACTTACGCATAATAAGATGTAACTTGATCATAAAAGATGTAATTTCATGATATATTATCATATGTAACTTCATGAATAAAAAAAACAAACTCAATGTTTTAAAAACCTCTTCAACATATAAAAGAAATAATATATATATATATAGAAAAAGTGTATACATATAAAAATATATTACAAAAAAGTGTATGAATATAAAAAATATTACAGAAATAAAAAAGTGTATGAATATGAAATGCAATATACTTATTTTATTTGGATTTATAAACTCTTTGTTATGTATTGATAAAGAATAAAAAAATAGATTCATCTCAAATTATAATTTGAGATGAAGATAAAGAGAAAGGTAAAATTGAAATTAAATTATTAGTAATTTAATTTGATGGAAAAGGAGAAGAATTGAACAAAAGAAAAACAGATAAAGGAAAGAGGAAAGGAAAAGGAAATAACAAAGCTCCAGACAAAGGAAGTTCAAAAAGAAACGTAAGTTTCTCTAAAGTGGGATCAGCACACCATGCGGAAGGTGGGATTGCCAATTACACTAGACGAAAATTTTAATCCGATCCTATCGGATGCATTAAAAAAAGATGAAAACTTTAATAACATTGTCTTTAACTCTTTATTTTTAGAACTAATGTATTTCCAATTTTTATTAAAGACGTGCTGAACTTCTAATTTTTATTATTTATTTATTTAATATTTTATATTATTTAAATTTTCCCGTTATTATTATTAATGTATAAATATTTTTATTATTTTTATATTTATTTATAAATAAACCTATGATTTCCTTACTCTTATTTATAAAATAAAATTATTAGGGATTATAGGAATTGAAGAGGGTAGAATACGAAAAGAGGACATATATGGAGGACTTTTAAAGGTGGTTAAAACGGTTCTACAGAATAGAACCAAAATTTATGGAGCCCCAATTTTTTAAAAATTATTAGTACTACCTACAGAAAAGATTCAACATATTTTTTTTCTTGGTCAATGATGACAAACTTTAGACTATGATTTTTATTATTATATTTGTTTATAATTTATAAATTTTATACTTTTATGGAAATATTTTGAAACCAAGCATTCCAGCCCAGCTGGTTGTGAGGTTACCGTGCCTAGTGGGAAGTCTCGAGTTCGAACCCCGCTAGGCACATAAGGGTTTGAAACTCAATTGAGTGAGTTTCAGCCTTGATTACTCTAGGGCCCCCACCCCCTCCCCCAGACCCCCTTAGAGTAAAAAAAATTATCAAAAAAATGGAAATATTTTGAATCAGGAAAATTTTGATATAATTTTCATATTCAAAATACTTTCATATTAAAAAATATCATTGGTCAAAGTTGATTGACATTGATAAAAAAATTCAATTTTGCAAACCTTTTTGGGACAGATCAGAGAGAGTATTACATACGGAGTAATATATAGTAGTAATATTATATACTAATACAAATGGTAAAATAGAGTGATTATAAGGAGAAAAATGCAGATTCATCATTTTTTCGTTGATCCTTTTAGTCTTCTTTTACTCAAAATGCTTGAGTAATGAGTTGTGTTGCATCAAGTGAAAGTATTAAGTTACTTTTTGAATATTTTTAATTGCGTTGTTAAATGAGTATGCAATTAATATATCTGAGTATGTATTTTTAGTTTGAAGATTTTTTAGTTCGTATATATTAATGTGGGGTCTCGATTTTATATTTGAAACCAAAGCCTCCAAATTCATTTGACGGCTGTGGACATATATTACTCCTATTTTGGAAATTGAAATATTGTACTCGTATGATTGGATTTAGAAGTAATTCTAGTCCTATTGGATAATTTGGATAATTTTTTAAATTTTATTACTGACATGGTGAGAATGTTATCTTATTTCATAGATAGGATGTGTAAATTAGTAGCATATGCCAATCCATCTATATATCGATCAGGCATCAAGAATATCGATTTTAAGCCACCCAACTATGTCTAGCTACTATCATTAAATCCACACATATGCATGCACTTCTGATCTCAAACAAACATTATAAACTTACTATATATAAAATTTATACAGCTAGACAACATATATAGTTATTATTATATACTTTGGTCGATCATATCACAAATATGGTCAACATAATAGAAAGACTTCTGGGCTCTTTGGCTTCAGCAATAACCCGTTTTTGTTTCCTTCATCATCATCATCGACATGAAGATAGTCAAAAAAACATTCATAATAATCACACAAACTTCAACATGCCCAAGAAGAGCCGCCGCCCACTCTCTCTACAGGTTTCAACTCTTACTATACGAATTCATATCTACATATATACGTAGTATATGATATATGTGTGTCTATACATGCTTTTTAATGCAAATTCTAATGAAATCATTACATATATATATGATTAATTAAAATAAATAGTACAGAGTAGTATGTAGTTTTTACAAAAATGTAGTGACTAAAGTAGTAACTTAGTCACCACAGAATAACTTATGTTCACTCCAAATTTAAAAATGTCTATATTTTTAGAGTAAAAAATTTCTTGTAGTTTTTTCCCCAAAAAATATTCTTTGTACGGGTTCAGTGCTCTGACTCTTCCCTAGACTATTAGTAATATTTTTTCAAAAAAAACTTCACTTCTTATTGCTCCTTATTGTCTGTTTAAATAATGCGTATCATGTTTTCTTTTGTGTTTTCTCGTTTGGAAGGGTTTTTGTGACGTTCATAACATTCAGGAGCTAGGTAGTGGATCATGGTTTTAACTTTCAATTGACATCACTAAATATATATTAACATATGTGTACGTATATAAAAAAAAGTTTTAAAAACAACCCCACATTATTTTCAAATTTGATTGAAAAGAAAAACTATTACAATAATAAACTGTTGCTACAATTTAAATTTTAAAACTTATTTAAAAAGTGAAACAATATATAGTAAAAGAAATTTAATTATATCTTAAAATAAAACAAAAACAAAATTTTGAGAAAATATGAAAAATAGTGAGACTTGAAAGTCAAATGGTTTAATTGTCACTATGTACTGATTCTATGTGTTTCGCATATAAATATTTTATTTAGTTGATGAATGATTGCTATAAATGAAATTAATATTAAAAAGTTGAGTCAAATATTAAAAAATATTAAAAAATTATATGGTTTAATTGTCACTATGTATTGATTCTATATGTTTCGGAAAATAATTTGTTATGTAAAATATCTAAAAAAAAATAGGTAGTTATACATTTTTAAATTATTTTATTTATAGTTTTGCTACAACCCTGTCTAAATATTCAAATTATTTTCATGTTAGTTTAAATTCAAACATGAATAATTTTCGTGTTAGATTTAGAGTCCGTTTGGTAATACTAAATTGTCTGAATCTGCTGAAATTGATGAAATTCTGCCTGAATTGGTTGAATCTACTGATTTATGTAAAAATTTCAAGCCAATAGGTTCTCAATGGACTCTCTTTTTGTAGAATAAAGAAATTATTTATATGAAGAAAAAAAACTTCAACCAATTCAATCGGAAAAATAACTCCAATCTTACTTGAATTATTTTTCTTATTACATAATTCAGCATGTGAAGTAAAAAATTATATATGTAGTACGGAGTACAATATTAGATAGATATAATGATTGACTGATAAGCTCGGGGCATAACCAAAGAAGCACATATGTGCTATTGTAACTGCCACAGTGACATGCACATCAGGAAGGCATTTTGGGGTATGCATGAGAATATTGTTAAGAGATTGAAGATTAAATAGACTTGATCGGATAGTATATTCGCATATATATTGTTCCCAGAAATATATACCTTTCAACTGTCTCAATAAGCTAGTATCTATAGCTAGCTAGGTAGGCTCAGTTGTTATTTTTTTGTTCCCTGCAACTTGCACATGCAAAAGGTTCACAGTACATAAGATGTTCTATCTGCTCGATCATGCATTTCACTTTCAGATTACAATAGTAAAATAATATTACAAAAATGAACTATTACACTAGTTACATACTCTACTTTTGATAAATTCTATTAATTAATATATTACTACGTATAAATTTAGAATATAAAAGTTTATAATAAGGCCGGTATGGACTATATGGAGTACTAATGTTCAAACTTGTGTGTTGACAAACGTGAAAATAAAAGCATTGTAATTAAAAATGAACGAATGAAGTATATATATTAACTTTTATGCGATCAGATCAAATCACATCAGGTTGAACTAACGGTTAAGTGAAAATATTCTCAAAATAAGATCCTCGCGTTTGAGAGATTAAGCCAATAGGTTCTCAATGGGCTCTCTTTTTTTAATAGCAATTCAAATAGCTTAGTGAATTTCATAGTGAGATTAGAAAGGATGCTTAGCTTCTTGCCTTCTTGGTTAGTCCTCGCATGTTTGAACTTCCAGTATTTTGGATTACTTATGTAATTCATGTTTTAAAGTAGCGTTTAATTTAATTTAATTTAATTTGTTGCACACTTTTGTGAATTAATTATGTTCATGTTTTTCCACTTCATTAATTTTAATTTGCAGACGGTAGAACTCAAAGTAAGGATGTGCTGCACTGGTTGTGAAAGGGTTGTCAAGGTTGCTATAAAAAAACTTCGAGGTACTTTGCACGGTTTAAAACCAAATTAATTGAAAGCAAAATAATTAAGTACTAAGTCAAGGAAATCGTTTGCCCAGTGACGATCTTGCAATAAAATGTGGGGTGTTCAAAATTATTTTTACAATAAAATAAAATGTTACTCAATAATATTATTTGATCCAACAATTGAAGAAATGTAAGTTTTATTTTGAACTATAAAAAACCGGCAAATAGGGTTCAAAATAAAAAATACTTGTATTGCATAAAAAATACAATATATATATATAAATTATTACATCAAATATATAAATTGTTTTTGCACATTATTTTCTAGTTTTTGGGTGTTCAGCTGAACACCCTTGAACCAAAGGAATCCGCCACTACTTTTGCGTTTTGCCCACCCCTGAACTATTATGAGTTCTTTAATTTACTTCTTTGGCAAGTTCTCAAATTTAAAGGCACATTCACACCCTTAAGTCTCGAGATCAGCCTTCAAATATAAGACATTTTTTCATGAATATTACTAAATTAAATTTAAAAAACTTATTTTCAAAAAGTGATATATTCGGTAACTAGTTTCCAGTGATTAATCATCTACCAGTGATTTGTCACTCTTTTCCAGTTTCTCGTACACAATGTCTAGTCATATTTTTGTCCAGAAATATAAGTAGTCATATTTTTGTACGGCAAAACTCCGTTAGTAATATATATGTCATTTTTCTAAATTTAAAGCCGAAAAGCTAAGAAGAGAAACTGAAATGGAACAACGACAATTGGTTTATCTGATCTCCCGTAACTTTTATCTTTATCCTTTACCAGTTTCATAACTTTACTCACTTGCGATCATGTTGATTAACTAAGAAGTTTATCCATATATCTAGGACTTTTCCATCGGGGCTTATAACTTTGATTCAAAATTTAAAACATTTTCCGTTCAAGATTTTTCTCCCAGATATACTCTATTCCAATTTAAAGTCCTTACAACACCAACAACAACATTCAAGCTTTAATCCGAAAAGAATTTTGGGTCGACTGACATGAATCTCAGATACACTCTATTTCAATGTAAAGTCCTTAATGTGAATATAAAATTATTAGGGACAAGAAACTATCTCCAAGTGATCAAAATTACAAGATTAACAATAGAGAGATGCATAAATCACAAGACTGAATCTGCCATTTTCTCTGAAAACACTCATCGATACATGCATAGTCACATGTAGGGGTGGATTCAATAGAGATAAACCTTGAGCTAGAGAAGGTAAAAGTGGTTGGATATGTCGAAAGGAATAAAGTGCTGAAGGCGGTGAGGAGGGCTGGAAAGAGGGCAGAGTTCTGGCCGTACCCTAACCCACCACTCTACTTCACTTCCACCGACCACTACTTCAAGGACATGACCACCGAGTACAGGAAGAGCTACAACTACCGGAGACATGGCTATAATACCGGAGACAAGCATGGAATCCTTCTAACTACTCAGCGTGGAGACGACAAAATTAGCAACTTGTTTAATGATGATAATGTCAATTCCTGTTGTATAATGTAAACACCATATGTTTGTGTCATCAAACCATGTCACAATTAATTGAACGAACCATAAGTTGCACCGAAACGTGGAAATCATAAGAAAACGGAATCGTCACATTTTAATTGAAAAACAACTGTTTGAAAAGTTTTCATAGAGTTTTCGTAGAATTTCTGAAATGAAAATGTACTCTTCTAGGAGATTTTCCATGCTGTATATTACTGTATAAGGATGTTTTAACTTGAATTGTTTTCAGTCCCAGACCAGACCAGTTCAAACCGAACCAAACCAGATCAGACCAGACCAGAGTTGGATAGTTACAAAATACACAGAGACCAGACGTTTATCAAACCAGGCCCGTTTAGAGTAGACCAGAAAATTTCTGTCCAAGTAAAAACATCATAAATGTATGGTTATGCTGTTTATAACTAGGAAGTTCTAGTTTCTAAATAAGATGTACTTTAAAAACTATTTTGACCCTTAAAATATGGTCACAGTAGAGTACAATCGATGAAGTTGTGGACATTAAAAAAAATATTGGGCCACTTGTGATAGTTATTGGGCTTCTTTCAAATGCTATCGGACTATTTTGACTTAATTGGACCACCTTTAAATGCTATAGGGTTAATGGTGAATTCTACTGGATCACTCATGATAGTTGTGGGTCTTATCAAAAGGAAAGTATTAATATGGGTCCATTAAGATAAATTTAGTTATTAAATTAATTTGAGTCATTTAAAATATCCAATTAATTTAATCATAAATTAAGTGTTTAAAAGAATGGACTAGTAATATTAATTTCTTTATATTTTGAGCTCATTATTAAATAGTGATCCAATGAATAAGAGACATGATCCAACTTGAGAAGAGGGCAATGAATCTAGTTAAGAAATCCGTCCATATGCATGAGAAATAGCAATGAACTTTGTTAAGAAAGTTGGCCAGATATATCTCACAGGTGTTGATTTTTCTAGCTATTAAAATGCAAATAAATAGAGTTCAAAGCCTATTTCGATTGGATCCCTAGACATATGGATGAATTTTATGAAACCCTTAAAGCATTTCTTAGCCCTTCCACGCCTATAAATAAGACTCTCGGTTGAAAGAAAGAGAGAGAACTTCTAAACAAGAAAATGGTGCAGAAAAGCTTTGAATAAACTTGGAGAAGCTCAGAAGAATTCCACCAAAAAGGAAAAGATCAATAATTTTATTAATAATATACGAATAAAGTTTAACGTGTTTTTTTTCATTAAATTTTGAATTGAAGATTGTTTTGCTAGGCAAAACGGCTTACCAAAGATCTTACTACGTGGACTATTGATAAGCCATTTTGGGTAATTTTAGTTAATCAATGAGTTGGACTTTGGCTTTCGCTGATTTTTTTGTTTTAATTAATTCATATAAGGTGTAAATGTACCAGAGAAGGACGAATAAGCGGGAGTTTTAGGTTCTTGTTCCCAAAATACGAAGATTTCATTTCATGGTCGAAAATACAGAAGTTAGAATTTTCTCTCTTTAGACCGCAACATAGGTCCACATGTCGATAAGTTCGTATCACAACACGCATTTGATGCGTGTTGGGATCGATTTTTGATGGTTTTTCTAGCTTTAAGGTGTTATAAGTCTCAATTTTAGCTCAAGTCATGTTTATCGGGCGTTGGTTCGAGTTTTGTGTTGTTTGAAGTCAAAAATCAAGAAATTAGAGTCTGGCACTGGCGCTTGAGAAGCATTCGGGACGAGTTAATGAACATTCGAGAGAGATTCGAGAGTTTTGGAGACCACCCGGAGGTTCACAATGAAGTTTTGATGAAGAAAGGGCCTTTGGATCGATCACGGGAGCATTCGGAAAAATTTGGGACGAGAAACGGAGAGAAAAGATGAAGAAAATGCCACACACGGCTGTGCCCAGCCGCCAAGCATGCCGTGCGTGCCTAGAAGAAAAGTCGGCGATGAAAAAGGCCAGGCACGACCGTGCCTGGCAGATAGGCACGCCGTGGTTGTAGAAGGAAAGGGTACCCGGCCACTGGAGGTCAGGAACGGTCATGCCTACCAAGGAGGCACGTCGTGCTTGGCGCAGGGCCGTCTCCAGGAATTTTGGTGCCCCAGACAAAAAATAACTAATGATATCAAATTGTACTTCAAATTAATAACATAATTAAATATGAAATAATTTGAAAATTATAACATCATTTTTTACTAAATGTAAAAAGAAATACCTGATTTAAAATTGATGTAAAGTATGTGAAAATATAAATTCTTCAAAGAAATAAATAAAATTATAAAAGTACTACCTAATAACGTATTCTTCTTGCTTTTTGATGTGCAAATTTGTAAGTACATCACCACAATCAAGAGTAGATAACACTTTTTTCACCATTTACAAGCACCGAATTTAGTGTTTGTCACTAAAACTCCGTTTTTTATCAACGAGGTAATCATCATGATCAGTAATTCTTATTGGGCCAGTTTATTATATACTCCCTCCGTTCCCAAAAATACTTCCCACTTTCCTTTTTGGACTGTTCCCAAAAATACTTCCCACTTTCCCATTTTGGACAATTTGTGTGGCTCACATTCATTTTACCTTTTTCTTACACAACCACAACCATACATTTCCACTTTATTCCACTTTCTTAATAAGCGTGCCAAGTCAAACCGGGAAGAATTTTTAGGAACGGAGGGAGTATATATATATAGGAAAATTCTGAGGTCCGAAAGTTCGGACCTGAGGCGCCGTCCGAACACCGCCCTTTGGGGCGGTTCCCGGTGGAATTTTTCGATGAAATTTTTATGGTATGTTATGCATCAAGTCTAGTTTATTCACTAAAAGTATCAGCTCAAAAATCGATCTGGAAGACCGTCAAATATGTTTTGGAAATTGACTGCGTTTTTCTATGTATAATTTTGCGCAGTTAATTTCCAAAAATTATTTGACGGCCTTCCCAGTCGATTTTAAGCTGAAATTTTTTGTGGATAAACTAGACTTGATGAATAACATACCATATAAATTTCATCAAAAAATTCCACCGTAAACCGCCCCGAAAAGCGTTGTCCGGATGGCGTTCGGACCAAAACCTATTGGACAGGAGAATGATGCCCCCCTTGGGAGTGGTGCCCTAGGCCACTGCCTAGGTGCCTACCCCCTATGGCCGGCCCTGGATTGGCGCTGTGACTGACCCCAAATCTCCCAATTCAGCTCAAATTTGATCTGTTTTCTATAAATAAGGCCTCCATATCCCTGTTTAAGGGGTACATAGCTTAGAGAGAGGCCTAGAGGCGAGATTTTCATTGTTTTTCCGCATTGTTCTTCAATTCACTAGAATTATTTGTAAGCCCTACTTTTTAATTAATGACAATTAATTATGTTCTTCCCAATGTTATTGATTCCTAAATTATGAATTGCGAGTAGTTTTAATTAGGGATTTGAGATTGATGATGAAGGGGTGAATCATGATGTATGGCTAAATTCATGATGTATTAATTGCATGAATGTTATTTAATTTGTGTTTGAATGATTGAATTGATATCCCTTGTAACCTAGAATGGCCACTAGGATTATAATTACATGTAGAATAAATTAAGAGAAATCTAATTTATTCTAGGACACCTTCACACACACTTAATCGATTAGTAACGACTAAGGGGTCGTACGCTCGCTCGTTTTGAAAATAATTTTAGATACATGTCGCATGAGAGATCAGTTTGGTTCCCTAAATTATTGTACTCTACGCCGTGAGAGCGGTTAAAACTTAGTATTGACTAGTGTTGCTCAATTAAATTAATTTCATATACTTAAGCCTGATCAGCCAAAACTCTGATTACCTTGGAATCAATCTGTGTTCCCTTCGTCGCTAATTAGAAACAACAAATTTATTTTTAATTTTTTATTCGTTCGCCTGCATTTTAATTTTCCAAACCAACCAATCTTTTTAATCTTTTAATTCCCTTTTACCGTGCCTGTGGAGACGATACTCGTACTCATACCACTATTCTACTATTAATTTTAATGCGAGAAAACTAACATCAATAGCCATTCCAAAGTAATTGTTCACTGTTTCAAGTAATTTGAGGTTATGAGTGTTTTTTTAACAAATGTCTACTTTAAATTTATTATTCTTATTGTATTAAAGTATTTTTGTTCTTCAAAAAATAGTACTCCCTCCGTCCCGGAATTATCTTCATTCTTTCCTTTTTGGTCCGTCCCAAATTTATCTCCTTTTTCTCTTTTTGGTAAAGAATATGTGGTTCACAGCCATTCTTACACATTTCTCTCTCCTCTGCATAACTCTCCACCACACAAATCTCACTATCTTAAAACCCGTGACCGGTCAAAACCGGAGTTAAATATGGGACGGAGGGAGTATTAAAGTGCTATTAATAATAAATTTGTTTCTTTTTTTGTACTCTCTTTTCTGATAGTATTTGTTCTGTTATTACTTTTGTTTCTATATTTTGTTAATAAGTTGAGTTAATTATCAAAATAGGACTAAAAGTCATTCACTTTTCAAAAATAGGACCAAAAAATAAACTATGTTTTCATAGGACTAATCATGTGTACCTTGGACAATTATACCCTTATAATTCTTAAAATGTTTTAATTCCTAATAAAATAATAAAAAATCATAAAAAATCGTAAAAAATACTAAAAAATTAAGAAAAACATTTCGATATTAAAAATTTAATTAATTTTTTTTTCAAAAAATTAAAAAATAAAATAAAAAAAATAAAAACTCAAAAAAAAAAATCGCCGCTCAGCCGCCTCAGCACCACCATCTCCAGTCACCAGGGGAAAAAAATGCCAAATTCATTACAAATGCCATATTTATGGCAGAAAAAAATGAAAATGTTGGCATTCGAAAAGAGGAATATGCCACTTTTTTGGCATTTTAATAAAAAAATGGCATTTTTCTGGGAAAATGGCATTTTTTTCATCGGCCGGAGGTGGTGGTGCTGGGAGGTAGTATAGGCGGTGGGAAAGGCATCCATATTTTTTTAAATTTTTTTTACGGAGTTTTACTATTTTTTTTTAAATAAAATTATTTTAAAAAAAGTTTTTGAATTTTTTATTTTATAAAAAATTTATAAATTTTTTAATTATATTTCTACGAATTTTTGAATTTTTTTCGAATTTATTATG